TTTTCGCTTGTTTTTATATTCCATTCTTTTTAGCTTTCACATGTCTCCATGTTTGATGTTATTCTCATCTAATGAATGCTGGCATAAAGGCATTGTTTCCTATTTAGACCAGATTGTGGTGGTTCATGCACAAGTACATGCTGTTTGTGTTTGTGATACAGACCAACTCTCCTTAGAGAATGTCTGCGTTAAACTTAAGCTTAGCCGCCAGTACAGTGGATAACAACAACAAGTGTTTTCTAGTGACTTTCTGTGAAAGATGGAAACAGCTTTCATTAAAGGAATGTAACGATATATTATCCATTGTTTATTTGTGCTGCTATAGATTGGTGGTCTAATCAGGATATAGCCTCTTGCTGTATGACAGCTGGGATAGGCTTCAGCCTCCCTTCCATCTTAAAATGGATGCTGATAAACAGAAGGACCATTCAAAACAAATTGAGGACTTTATTCCTAAACACGGACCAGAAAACTGCACTAATGTACAAATTATGCAGGAAACCGTCCCCACCACAGACTCAGACATGACAAACCTCTCATACCACCTATGCAAGAGTCAAGTGAAAGAATATAGAGATAGTTTACGGATGTGAAGCAAAAGAGAGCCGTCAGATGCTCAAAATAAACCTTAGAACAGGCTTTTTCGCAGCACACCGTGTAATAAATACTCACAAAGAAAACATATCTAAAAATATATACTTTCATGCATCGGTCAAAACACTCAACTCCAGGTACACGACGTTCAGCGGAAAACATTTCACACAAGTGAAGTTGCCAGAGGTTCACAGAATTTACAGAAAATTGACTATTTTGTGAATTATATTGTTATTGGCTGAGAAATGTTTTATATCGGGATATGAGATTTTGGTCACATCGCACAGCCCTATCATATCGGTGTATTTATATTCCCAGCAGGTGCCTGAGGTCTTGTGACCAGGGCTTGCAGACCAGCACACTAGATTAAAACGTGACAGAGCCTTTGTGTCTGCGGCTCCCAGACTCTGGAACTCTCTCCCGTTGAGTTTGAGATCTGCAGACTTCTTTTAAAAAACTCATCTTTTTAAACTTGCTTTTGGTTGATGTTTTTTTATGTTCCAGCTTCTGTGAAGCACTTTGTGATTTTATCTTGAAATGTGTTACATAAATACAATTTCACTTACTTATTTATAATAATAATGGATTGCATTTATAAAGCGCTTTTCGGGGCCCTCAAAGCGCTTTACAATTCCACTATTCATTCACTCTCACATTCACACTGGTGGAGGCAGCTACAGTTGTAGCCACAGCTGCCCTGGG